GCTCATGTCAGTGACAATTTGTTTGTAAAATGTTTGAAGGAATCTGCTTCTGTTGCAAAATATTTCTCTTTGGAAATTTTGCTGCTTATAGTTTGACACTTTTCAGTGTCATACTGATGTTTGCATATGAATGAGTGATTCAAGTCTACAAATGAGTTACAGGATGTTTCCATTAATTGATCTTGAATCTACCATTTTTATGTTCAGTTTTCAGTAGTGAATACCATGTTCTATCTATATGAATTGAACAAAGAGAAATATTTCGCATTTTAATGTTGAGAACGGGAGCAGATTCGGTCCCGAAAGGTCCAAAGATAAGTAAAAATTCGATATGTTTTCAATATATGTATATTTCTCTCCTTCGAACATTTTTCAAACAAATTGTCACTGACAAGCTACTGGATTTTTCTTTTAGGCTCCCTGATAAGAAAATTTGTTAAACGCAGTGAAATTTTATTGGTCAGATGATCTGCCCCACTACAAATATATTGAAATAATACGCATATTTTTATTTTATAGAAACGAGAAGAAAAAAACCCAAAAAATCAAGTTTCGCTGTTGCGTTCCAATTAACAGTGCTGCTCCTACACTCAAAGAAATTTACCAGGATATACAACAGGAATTCGGCTATTTCTACAGGAAATTCCCCCTATATAAGCGACAGCAGGAATATTTGTTAATTGTACGTGACAATTCCGGTCTATCAATTCCTTTAGAAATAACAAGTTTTAGATCCGTTAGTGCAACCAAACTGCAGTTTGTCATTTTAACAGGAAAATAATAATGTAACGAGAACCGGAATTTGCTTTGTTATTTACAGAATCGCTACATTGATTCAACTGGAACCTTCCAGTTATTTTGATGAACCACCTCAGTTCTACCGGAGCTGTAATTTCGATTTAACAGGAATTTCCTGTTTAATAATCAAACTAGATAGTTGTATTCGGAGCTTCAAACTTCAATTCTTACAAGAATTTCCAGTAATCAACACTAAACTTAAACAGGAATTACTTCACTTTTACCGGAACTTTAGTTTCGATTCAACAGGAATTTTCTGTTCAATTAAAGGACTTTCGTTCACACATTACAGTACTAGTTAGTTGTATTTGAAGTTTATTACCTGAGATTTCACAGGAATTTCCTGTAGTTACCTAGTATTCAACTGGAATTTCTTGTATTTCCTATTCAATTATCTGCATAGTTTTGACAATAATTTCCATCTGAAGTTGACATTTTTTTCCATGGAATTTTACTGGAAGTTTCCTGTTAGTACTACCGTGGAGCATTGTTGTAATTTAGGGTACTTCCTGTCAGTATTCAAGTGCTATTTCGTACTGTCTGTAGATTAATCGTGGAGGTGGTATGTACATTCATTATTCCAGATTTTTTTAGGATTTCCTCTCCTCGTTTCTTTAAAATAAAAATATGAATATTATTCCAATATACGTGTAGTAAGGACAAATCAGATGATTTGCAAAATGTCACTGCGTTTAAAGAATTTTCTTATCAAAGAGCCTGAAAGAAAAATTCACTAGCTTGTCAGTGACAAGTGTATTGAAAAAAAATTGGAGAAGAGAAATAAAGGTATAAAAGAAAAAATCAATTTTTCACTTAGCTTTGGACGTTTTGGGAAAGAATCTGATACCGTTTTCAACATGAAAAATGGATAATATTTGTGTAGAAAATTCGTATTTGTCTTGCCACTTCTCAGTTCTCAGTGAAAATTTGTGACGTTGGCAATCAAATGAGTTACAGGATGTTTTCATTAATTAATCTTGAATTTTCCATTTTCATTTTCAGATTTCAGTAGTGAATACCATGTTCTATCTATATCAATTGAGTGGAATAATATTAAAATCATTAGAAAAGAAGATAACCGTAAGAGAAGAATCAAGGAATCTGCTTGCATTCTTCTGAACGGAGACAATAGCATTGCTTCCCCTGTTCAGTTAATATAGATAGAACATGGTATTCACTACTGAAAACTGAAAATGAAAGTGGTGATTTCAAGATTAATTAATGAAAGCATCCTGTAACTCATTTGATTTCCAACGTCACCAATAATTGTCACTGCGAACTGAGAAGTGTCAAGACAAATACGAATTTGCTAGATGAATATTATCAATTTTTGATGGTGAAAACGGGAGCAGATTCGTTCCCGAAACGTCCAAAGCTAAGTGAAAATTTGATATTTTTTCTTCATACCTTTATTGCTCTTCTCCAAACTTTTTTCAATACAAATTGTCACTGACAAGCTAGTGAATTTTTCATTTAGGCTCTCTGATAGGAAAATTCTTCAAACGAAGTGATATTTTGGGGCAAATCATCTGATTTGTCCTTACTACAAATATATTGGAATAATATTCATATTTCTATTTCATAGAAACGAGGAGAGAAAATCCCAGAAAAATCTGGAATAACGAATGCTATTTTGTTATTTTTGTAACGCATTCTGTCTGTGACTTCGCGAATATGTGTCTAGATTCGGGGGAGAATTATCATTATATTATTATATGTTATATTTCCATAGTTCAATACACATTGAACAGAGTATTCACTTCTAATATAGGTTGGGTATAAAAATATGATATTCAAGATGTCCCAAGATAAAATTTGTTTATTGAAAAAACATTGAGTGATTTGTTTATAATGAATGTGATGAAAGAAAAACATAAAATAATGATTTCTGGCGTGCACCGTAATTCCACCATTTCAACCACGATATTTGTTATCTGAGTACCTATAGCCAATGACCACGATTACGGTTCTGCCATATGAAAAGCACTGCAAGGAAAAGCACTGCAAGGTCGTAACGATGGTTGGAATATTAGAGTTACGGAATACGTCTTCAACTAAAAGTACATAAACATATTAACAAACAACAATAAACATAATGATACACCCAAACTAAAGGTGAGAATTTTATTTGCAGCCTTACTTTTATCATCCACATGTATCAAGACCATGCATGTATATACACCTACACTATGAAGGTCTTTCATCTAGAGCAGCCAGAGAGACATGAGAATTTGTTAAGCCGATTTTAAGATTACTTTCTGGTTATAAAATTGACAATTTTAGGGTAACAAACCACATGACTGTTTGTCACACTACACAGAGGAACCACTACACCGAAACACGAACTATTACGTGTCTCGGTGTAGTGGTGTTACACTGTTACTCTTTGTAGAATGAAACCACCTCAAAGAGGTGGTCATACGGTCATACCTTGTTGAACATTTGAGGCAAGCTGTCATATATATTTTTTATTTATTATTTACTTCTCTAATTTTGTTACATACGTCTTTTTACATAATGAATTGAACTAAGGAAAATGTTAATACCCAACGGAACGATTAGAGTGCATTTTCAAATGTAGTCCCTGCAAGTGATATAATCTTTTCCATTTGGAGCATTTATCAAATGGTGAACAACAGAAGCAGTCGAAAGTATAACATTTAAAGATCTGTAGAAAAATTCTTTTTGTTCTGGAGGAAGCACCTCATATGCAAAATAATGTTCATCAAATCCTATTGTTAAAAACTTTGAAGACTTGAAGATTATTCTTTTGTCTGAACCATAAACATAAATATTATGAATTTGCATGAAAATAGGATCTTCATCTTGAGGAATGTCACAAAGTAAAATTGAACTCTTTCGATATTCAATACCATTAATCTCAACCCAAGACACTGACATGAGATTATCATTTTCAGTGCAGTTTGTTTCCTCTAAAACTGTTGCTATATTTTTTATCACCTTTTCAGGTCCCAGTTGTACTCTCTTTTCCTGATGTCCCTTGAGGAATATGTAGTTGAGTTGTAACTGATGTCTGAATGCTAATGTCAGGCAAATGTTCCTACGATTACAAGATGAATTGGAAAAATGTTTAAAAACACGATGTTTTGCCTCAAATCGCATACACCACATTTTTGATGGTGGTCCGAGAGTTTTGATAATTCGGTGATAATGGATTAAATGATGAAATTTCGGTTTCAATAGTTGCTTAGAATGAAGCAAATATAGCTCATTCATCTCAGCAATTTGCACTTGCAAACTCTCACATAATGATAAATTGAAAGAAGAGGATAATAACATATCCATTATTCTTCGAAGTGTTATTTGTAGTTGCCAAGCAGGGTCATTACTTGGTATAAAGTCACCAATGAGAAGTCCAAAATAACGCACAAATACGATCATTTCTGAAGCTGTAAGTCGAACATTACCTTGTTTCAAATGCTGCATATTTAACGGCATAGGTTTTGACTTCTGGTCAGGACCAAAATTGAATGCGAAAATACGACTATTTAAAACATCCAACGAAAATAGTGACTGTTCGGTAACGTACCTGACAATCAAAAATGATAAAATGTATTTGGCACAACCCTCTAACACATCATGCATCATATCGACTGCTACTTGATCGAAGAGGCTAAAACCTTGTATATTCAACCACACACATTTTTCCTTTATACCAGTGGCTTCTAGTGGCAAACCAGATCTGATCTGTTCATTGTAAATGTCCAATGTCCTAAGTGCATGTTCATCTTCATAACACTGTGTTTTCAAAATACTTTTATCAACATTACAAATTCTGCAAGAATGATTAGCAGAAAAACTCTCAGTGAATCCAGTAATGGAATGAATTCCTAAATTATCACCAACAAGTGCTCCAAGTTGAAAGTAACATTTAACCTTTTCATTACATATATCTAACTCAATACCAGAATTGTACAAATAATTAATTTCATTTATAACAGGAGTGAATATTACGTTGTTGCCAAAAGCGACCCGATCAGACGAATGAAAAAGCAAAGCAAGGAAGATATTACTCAGTTGTGACGCCCATTTTGGTGGGAGACATGGTATAGAAACATAGACTGCTCCTAGTTTGTGAATCCCTGCATGACTGGAGAGAACATTGCCAGTTTCAAAATCATCAAAAAATAAAAATAAAGGGATGACAGTACGATTACCATGAATAACTTTTTGACTTTGCCAGAAAGATGCTTGAATAAAATTTTGTATTATGCCACTTCCAATATCATTTTGTAAAGCAACCATGTACTCCATGGTGTCTTCGAAAACACCTGGTATTGAAAAGAATTTTTGTAATACACTGTGCAAAGGAATTATTTGTTCTGTGCAAGTGACTGGCTCCAAAACTCTACTATCATTGTTTCTGGTATCATTCATTCGTTGACCTATTACTATTTGTGAAGGTTTCACGAACGTTTTCGTGACTTGTTCAAAGTATTGCATTCTCTTATATTCAGAATCAAAACTTTTAAAAGATGACTCCAGCTTATGTGATACAACTTCACACACTGAACCTATATTGTTACATGTTATCAAACCGGTATCATTCAATTCAGATAAGCACTGTCCTACCATATGTGAGACTCCGCCTGATATATGCGAAGTAAATCCATGAACCACACTGTTGATGCAGTTTCTGGGTAGACGTGGATTTGCATACAGAGATGCAATGAAAAGAGGAAACTCTTTTTCCCCGACTCCAGCTTTTGTCGCAAGACTTTTAGATTCAACCTTCATAATCTTACTATCAGCTAATTCTGCAACATTTTCTGTACACGTGGTTTCAAAAGATGACGAAGACTGAGCCACCGGCTGTGACAGAGCTATTTGTGATTGCGAATGAGACAAACGGAAATGTCTACTGTAGGACTGCTTGCTATCAAATTTTCTATCACACCCACCTTCAATACAGATGTATTGATGGAAAGATTCCCTTTGATGAATATAGCTAAAATGTATGAATAGAGACCTCACACTTGGACAAGTTAAAGAACAAATGAAACATGTGGGCATTATTTATCGCGTTCCTGTTCCCTTACTTCTAACTCCGATAGTAGGGTACTGACAGTTGTGTATGTTTGATCATATTTTGTAGACATTTCAAAGAAACATAATTGAATAAACATCCAAATAGGTTTAGATTCCGTTGGGTATTCAGCATTCAGAACGTGGATTATTTTAAAACATGCATCCACTGCACTCAAAATGTTTTCTACTTTATACAATGTTTTGTCTACAATGATATAGTAAGAGCTAATATCTGATAATGTTTGGCCCACAATTATAATGAAAGGCTGCAAATGTAACTTCAAACCTGCCATTTTATCTCGTCTCCTATTTATTGTTTCCTCCACTTCTGCAGCAGATCTAACGTGTGTTATAAAACCCTCCATTGATTCTAAGCGAGATGGCCTCCAGGTTGTACTTTTTTTGCTCCTCCTTACGCTACTCAAATTTAGAAGATACGCTATAGATAGAAAGAGCGCTATGTTGCAATGTTCTTCCCCACCTGAAAACGAAATTATAAAAGAAATTATGATAAACGTACAACTCATCCTATTAGTGTGAAAAAGTGAAATAATTATTATATTGAAGAACTTAGAATGAAAACTGCAAAAAATTTACTTCAATGGGATACTTATATAGCTGATTCCAGGGAACTCTAACTTGAGACCCAAAGTGAATAATTATGGCATTACTGGCTGTTCAATTCTACTACTTCCAAAGTCCAAACCTTTAATGAATATTTAATCACCCCCTATACCTATTTTTTTGTATAGCTCTTATAAAGAGTATAAGGGAGGTGACAATTTTATATATTCAAGTTGAGTCAACTCAGTTGGTTATTTAAGTTTAAGAAGTGGAAAAGGAAGCTATCATGTAACAAACCTTACTTAACACTTGAAAGGAAATAATACTCTCAATTGAGCAAAATTATCAACTTGTTTTGATTTATAAAACATTCTTTCAATTTCTTTGCTATTGAAAAAAATATATGATAAAGAAAAATAGTTACTACATATATAACAAATAGAAAATACCTTCTGCAAGCTTCAGTAGCTCCTTCAAATTGGCTTTCATGTCGGGCACTGAGGATGAGTCTATCCTCTTCTTGATTGTATTTAACAACCTTTCCCTTGTCAGGGGAAATGTCTTATTCAGTGCCTCTGTATGATCAGGGAATATGTTACTAAAGTCAGTCAGCAACTAAAAGGAAGACAATAGCATTTTATAAATCATTACTATCTTGTTAAGTTATCTTCGCTAACAAAGGTGTATTAAACATATTTCAATCTGGATCTATGTATAAACAATACTATAGATATATTACATGAAGTCAACAATAAAAACTGGAAGCATTTTCAAGATATTCGAAATATTGTTTATCATAGTGTTTCATTATGGACAATTTCAGCTGTGAACTAAGAATAAATAAAACTTGGCTTCAAACTGTCTGAAGTTTATTAGGAATATGTTTTCGTCATATATTCACCAATTTTACACTCATTTTATTTTCTAAAAATTTCATTTAAATGGAATTTCGAAACGTTGCCTCTTTTGGGGCCATTACTTAAGATACTCAGATTTTTTTATAATAATTTTCCAAAAATAATTTGATGTTTTGAAAGAAGAAGAAATATTGTATGCAACTCCCGTGCAATTAACAAAAATTTTTGCACTCGTACATAAATAACTATCAATTCATCTCAAAAACCTTACTATAATAAATGGATCAATAATTTTCCTAACTAAATTTCAATTAACAGTTTTGACTTACCAAAAGGTATCCTGAAGGCTTATGTAAGCATGGAAATTTACTGAAATACTCAGTGATTGTCATCTCCTCTGAAGACAGACTCTGAAGTCTGGCCTTTGTGGTGAGACTCCAGAACACCTCCACCATCTGCCATGGATCTGATGAGTTCTGCAGCCACAAAATCTGTTCATCTGCATCTTCCTCAGGTAGCCCTGCTAATCTATCTCGTAACTGCCTTGCACTAGAGAGGCATACCGGGGATTCAGTCCTCGATGGTGAGGGGGTAGAGTATCTCGAAGACTTGGCTATCAGTCCTGACTTCCGATACTCTCTCCTCAGGTTGTCAAGGCAATTGATCAATTTCCCCTTTGCAGACGATTTTAGTCCAACACCATAGGATTGGTAAGGGATGTAGTATGTCGAGGCATGCTCCCTTCTAAAAACTTCTTTAATTTCGAAAGAAATGGCCAGAAGTCTGTCCCCCGATATTCTTTTCGTAGGGTCACCTTGCAGTTCTCTTCTTATAATAAGCTTGCACAAAGTGGATCGCCCCTTTGAGGAGAGACAGCCCCTAGTCGTTTCCTCGGCTAGCAATGCTTTACCATCATTTGTTTCGTTCAATAATTTGAGGAGGGCCTATATAAAAAAAATGGTTAATAGTCCAATTTTATTGGTGTGAGCTTGTGGCGTTCTTCTACGACTGTGCGTTTTTGCCTACTTTTCCGCACGCATTTTGGTTTGGGAAGGCTATCCCGCACTAGTGCGGGTAAGAGTGCGGGAAAGTATCTAAAATTCTGCCTATATAATTTGAGCTCATTTTGCATTGTTTTGATTGTATTTCATGAACTATCTCTTATGTGGATGCTGATAATCAAACTATATATTTTTCCATTTTCATTCAATTTTCATTTTCAATGTAAAATTCTCTACATGGTTATTCACGTCTAACAACACGGAATATTGTGGCTGAACCGATAGATTTTCAAGAAGTTTCGATTTTAGGGCAGATAGAGGTCTTAATGATATACAGGGTATCCCAGAACTATTAAATGTATCAAAGTTGCGTTTTTTCAAATAAAATACCCTGTATTTCTTTGCATTTTTAGATTGTCCTGGAAAAGCTGATTTCATCGATCTTTCACACTTGGGGTCTAGCTGGAATGTGAAATCGAACGACCCCTGGCCTATTCTTTTTCTTAAATTTGTTCTAATTTTTATCCACAAAACGAATGCTATTTTTTAAAATCGAACGTATTGCTTCACAAAGTCTCTCACGGGAAACGAAAATTTGTTTGGGATTTGTATATAATTAAGTTCGCGATAAGTACCACATGACACAACATATAGACTCTTGAGAGCGAAATTCGTCGAAAACCATAAAGATAAGGAACTTCGGGAATCGTGAGACCGTGTTGCGGGGTTTGTATGGAGAGTCTCCCACATACGTGATTTACTATTCTTCATCCTTTACCGAAGGACTATAAAACCGCGACGTGTGTCTGAAAAAAGGGTTATTCTTTACTGAGCTTTGGTACAGTACACGTCTAACGTAAATTCTCGAAGGTAGTGGGCATCCAGCGTGAGCTGTGAGTGGACCTACCTAAGAAATCGTTTCATACACGTTTTCTTGACAAACAAAAATTCTCGAAGGTAGTGGGCATCCAGCGTGAGCTGTGAGTGGACCTACCTAAGAAATCGTTTCATATACGTTTTCTTGACTAACAAAAATTCTCGAAGATAGTGGGCATCCAGCGTGAGCTGTGAGTGGACCTACCTAAGAAATCGTTTCATATACGCTTTCTTGACCAACGAATATTTGATCGGTAGTGGGCAACCAGCGTGAGCTGCGGATGGACCTACCGAAGAAATCGTTTCATATATGATTTCTGGACAATTAAATTGTCGATAGGTAGTGGGCAACCAGCGTGAGCTGAGGGTGGACCTACCTGAGGAAAGTTTCATACTCGATTCCTCGACTAACAAAATTCGCGATAGGTAGCGGGCAACCAGCGTAAGCTGTGAGTGGACCTGCCTATAAACTGTTTTACGTTATTGCTCAAATTATTAATTCTATAATATTTTGTACAAGCTCAGATATCCAAGTCAGTCAAATTCATTTCAATTCCTTGTAAATTACCTCAAATCTACGAATAATGTCACGTCCTAAAAACAAGGCCAGTAATATGAAAGCGAAGAGGTTGTGGGGTCTGGGGGAGAAGTACATGTGAATGTGATTACAGGTAAGCATCTTATTGTAAATTGTATCATCTAACTGTTGTTTTCCTATTGAGGGGAATTTCCAATGATGAATTCGGTATTGTTTGTTTCTTATATATGATGGGGATCTAATAATGAAGGGAAGCCTCCGTCACCCACTATAGAACATTGCCTAACGAATAATGACTATCATCACGGGGGGAGTAACCTGAATATTAAAAGGAAAACGGTAAATATCATAAAAATGTGGGTGATTTATAGGAAAAGTGAAATGTCCTCTATATGTATATCTCTCCAAGTACCGAATTTGCCAGTGGAAGTGCTCCCCAACTATGTTTATGTCCTAATTATGCACAAAGGGTTGAGTTAAACTTATCAATTTGCCAATAACAAAAAGGGGTATATTTCTCTCGTCGTTTTTCTTATACTTTTATTATTATCGTCCATTTTGACTATGGTTTTATTGACTTACTAATTGCAACTCTGTAATATTTCTCGATAGACATTATATATATATTTGACATAGTATTGCTCTTTGACAATAGGTAAATCAGTAGGTATCATTCTTAATGTTAGTACACTGTTTCATATTCATTTTGTGGTCAATTTAATCGAAAATTATGTTTCTTCTTTATATCACGAAACAATATATATTTCTCCCATTTTTATTGTTATTAGCTTGATAATGTACTATTATTTAAATTTGGTTTGCAACTTGTCATTCGTCTTTTTCTATACAATCGGTTTGTTCTGTAGAGGTATCGATAACAAGCCCTTTAGTGATGTAGGTAGAAAGAATGTCAAAGAGTATATCGGCCCTAAATGTATATTTAACCACCAGTGGCGGAGTCCCTATTTATTCTTTTCCTGACCACGTACTATATGTGGTATCGAGGAACTTTCTCATAATAAGAGAATATGTTTTTGTGAGTCTGTAAACGCACCTGGGTTCTGATACGAAAGGAGAGTATGATTTGTCCCGTCAATGTCCGAGCAGACTGGTAAAAAAGTAGCAGCTATTTTAAACAAAAGAGAAAAAGATGTCTGAGCTTCGGCGAAGAGCAACCTTGAAAAATCCAGGCGAAGAATAAAATACCCTGGTGCCAGAAAGTTCGGATTATTGACGGTACACTATCATGCCACTCCTGGTTTTATCACTCCCCATCACAAGCTTGGTCATTGTGATAGAATTTCGACCGCAGTGTCTTTCTGGAAGTTCCCCCTTCGAAGCTGTACTTCCGTGTAGCACTCCTACTCTGAACCAGCAACCCTGTTAAAACTGATGGAAAGACACTGAGTTTGACAATTCTGTGAGGCAATACAAGTTTAGCACTGATAGTGGATATGTTATATCATCCTTGGTTTTTGATTGTACGACACTTCATCAGACATGCGGGACTATATATGAACAAAAAAGTAGCAGTTGATAAAAGATGCCCTCAAGAAAAAGATACCTGAGCTACGGCGAGGGGCAAAATTGGCCACCCGTTATCCTGTTAAAATGTCTGATGTGGCGCCGCTGCGATCTCAATCTCCAGTATGTTCTGACGTATCAGTTTGTTAGGAGCCCTGTTGTCTGAGGAACGAGTGGTGAGATAGGTCCCTCGAGACAAACATATGGTATTTAGTATGTAATAGGGAGTACCTACACTTTTAAAGGGACCGCGCCACTGGGTAGACGAACTGTCTACAACATGATTTATGAACTGGGTACTATGCAATTATTGGAGATAATAAATCCCTTTACCTACCTTCTGTGTTTTATTTGCTACAATTGTATCGAACTTTAAAAAGAACTTGGGTGTACAACAAATAGGGTGTCCTAGCCATAAATGAATTAATCAATTCTCGATTAATTATTGACGATCACAGCCAAATTAACATAATCAGAACAGCCCACGGTCTGTCAGGTTACACTGGTGCCGTGACCAGGATTTGAAGTTCTTAAATCGATACAATTGATAGCAAATAAATAAATACACCTTGCAAATTAAGAGTTTTACTGCCGTGAATGTGGTTACAGGTGATGTTCAAACAAATAATGACAATCCGACATCGGTTCCGCCTTCTCAACTTGAGATCCTCACGAGCGCCCTGATGGAAAACCAGCGGGCCTTACAGAACTTGGGAAAGAGTTTGGTGGCCATGCACCAAGAAAACCTGGCGAACTCTCGTGTCCTCATCAGTCGGCCCGCCCCTGCAAAAATAACTCCGGATGGCAAATATTGTACAGACCGGGCGAAGGACTCGGGCGGTACTCCCAGGGTATAACCGAACCCATAGCTGCACGTGGGTACCCCCTGCATAATGGCATATGCGACGCCGCTGAAAAATACCCCGCACGCGCCCAAGGATTGGGTCACATCAAGTGGGTACCGGCCGTCGAGGGCGCGACTATCCAGCGACCAGAGCTCACTCGAAGATTGCTCCCGGAAATTCCGGTAATCATCCAAGATATCTCTGTCACCGCGCTCCTTGACACTGGAAGCGAGGTGACCTGTATATCGGAAGATTAAACAGCAGAGTCTCGTACCCACATTGCCGCTTCGAGCCGTCTTGTCACAAGGAGCGTTTGGGACGAAAAGCAAAAGAGTTACTCGTCAAGTGCAACTCCGAATGGGCACCGGAATGGGCCTCGACGGCCGACCCTTCGACATAGGTTGTTTTATAGTTAGTGGCCTAATTAAACAATGTATACCGGGGGCCGATTGGATGCAAGAAAACAATTGTCAACTTGACTTCAATAATAAAAACCTTCTTGTACACTCGACGTCCCCAGATAAATTTCAGGTACCGTTCGAGACGTTCCTTACAGATGGCCCTACCGAACTTGAGAACGAAGGTGTCAAAATATTCCCAATCTCTGCCCTCTCAGCTGTAGTCGACAAAAATGACCTCATACCGACAGCGATAAAGGAGAGCACACTCGGTACTGAACAGGGGCGCAGACTAAGGGATCTTCTACTCGACTATTCTTCTCTATTTTCCACTACCAAAGTATATCCTGTCGTCAAAGCCTACTTTAACTGGGAAAATATATATCGAACGATACACCGACAGATCCGAGCCTATGACATTTGTCAGCGAGCTAAGAAGCCAAATAGGTCGCTGTTGGGACCACTGCGCATCATTTTAGCTACCAAAGTTGGGGAATTAGTAGCGGTGGACTATTATGGACCGCTACCTCGAAGTCGAGGTGGTCTGACCTACATCCTGCTAGCTGTAGACGTATTTTCGAAATATGTGAAGCTGTTCCCAGTTAAGAAAGCCAATGCTGTCTCCGCCGCTAACCCGATATTGCTGGACCTAGTACCTATACTTAATCCGCAGCAAATACTTAGTGATCATGGTACACAATTTACTTCAAGGGTTTGGAAACAGCGACTATCTGGGGCGGGCATCAAGGTTAAATTTGCCTCTATTCGACATGCCAGTTCAAATCCAGCGGAAAGATACATGAAGGAAATTGGTCGGATGTTCAGGACTTTTTGTCACGACAAACATCGTTCCTGGGCTATCTATACACGGGATATTGAAGAGTGCCTGAATTCCACCCCGAATTCCAGTACTGGGTATAGCCCGATGGAAATAGTACTAGGACAACGATCCAAACTCCAACTCGATGCCGCCATCGCTAAATACCTTCCACTGTCCCGAGACGTCGAGCCGGATATCCTGGAAATAGTCCGACGACATCTCGTGAAAATGTCGCTGAAGAGACAAAAACAGCAGCGGAGGAAAACGACTACCTTCTCCTTGGTTAGCTATGTCTTACTCAAGACCCAAACGCATTCCAATGCCGCTGAAGGAGTAGCTAGTAAGTTTTCCTTACTATACGAAGGCCCGTACCGCATCACTTCTCAACCCCACGAGAACGCCTATGTCCTGGTGGATACACACACGGGCAAGGTTAGAGGCATATTTAACACTGCTAATTTACTGCCATACATAACCGATGACAGACTTCCACCAGGATAGTCAAGTGGGCAACCAGGAAGATATCCGATCTGACTTTTGTCAACTGGAGTCAGTTTGTTTCCAACGGTCCAGCAGTTGAGTAGAAGAAAATGTCAGATACCGACACGAGACCTCCGACGCCCGGTGCCGGTTTGGAAGAGTTTTTCGAATCCCTCCTCTACCAGACAAGGCTGGAGAGGACCATCACCGCCAAATTAATTGACCCGCGGCCTGTTCCCGACCCTTACCGACCGCTGTTACCGGTCCACCTTCCAATATTGTTATGGCCAGTTGAACCCACTGACCACCGGGATGCTGAGACGCCGCTCACCGAACTCCATCCACTACCCCAGACCTGTGCCCAGACGGTGTCTACAGGGCAGGTAGCCAACCCGACAGAGCCACGGACGGCCGTTCTGGCCACCGAAAACAAAGGAGCCGTGACACTGCTCGCAGCGAAGGTACGCCGCAAGCGTGTTCGGCGCACAAGGTGCCAACGGCGTTTCCTCCAGAAACAGAGGAAAGGTCAACGCGAGTGAGGATATGAACCCAAGGTATGTGTTAGTGCGGGAAACGGGAGGAGGGAGATAATGCGGGATAAAGGACTATTATTGTGCAGATCTATTGACTAATGTATGCTTTTTGTAGCCAAATTCATGACTATGTAGCTATGTATATATTCACCCTATTATATTATTGTATGTTTTATTTTTATATGTTGAATTTGTTTGGAGAGTAATTTGTTTCATACTTAATTATTATCTCTTTCCTCAATTTATTTTTTTTTGTGTTCAGGGTTTTGGTATTTTTGAGGGTGGGGATATTTTGACCTGTGACCAGAGGGATATACTCCTCTTTGCGAGCCGAATAAAATTTTTTTTAACTCAAAAATTCGATTGCGTTCACAAAGAGGGGGGGAGAGTGAAATCGAACGACCCCTGGCCTATTCTTTTTCTTAAATTTGTTCTAATTTTTATCCACAAAACGAATGCTATTTTTTAAAATCGAACGTATTGCTTCACAAAGTCTCTCACGGGAAACGAAAATTTGTTTGGGATTTGTATATAATTAAGTTCGCGATAAGTACCACATGACACAACATATAGACTCTTGAGAGCGAAATTCGTCGAAAACCATAAAGATAAGGAACTTCGGGAATCGTGAGACCGTGTTGCGGGGTTTGTATGGAGAGTCTCCCACATACGTGATTTACTATTCTTCATCCTTTACCGAAGGACTATAAAACCGCGACGTGTGTCTGAAAAAAGGGTTATTCTTTACTGAGCTTTGGTACAGTACACGTCTAACGTAAATTCTCGAAGGTAGTGGGCATCCAGCGTGAGCTGTGAGTGGACCTACCTAAGAAATCGTTTCATACACGTTTTCTTGACAAACAAAAATTCTCGAAGGTAGTGGGCATCCAGCGTGAGCTGTGAGTGGACCTACCTAAGAAATCGTTTCATATACGTTTTCTTGACTAACAAAAATTCTCGAAGATAGTGGGCATCCAGCGTGAGCTGTGAGTGGACCTACCTAAGAAATCGTTTCATATACGCTTTCTTGACCAACGAATATTTGATCGGTAGTGGGCAACCAGCGTGAGCTGCGGATGGACCTACCGAAGAAATCGTTTCATATATGATTTCTGGACAATTAAATTGTCGATAGGTAGTGGGCAACCAGCGTGAGCTGAGGGTGGACCTACCTGAGGAAAGTTTCATACTCGATTCCTCGACTAACAAAATTCGCGATAGGTAGCGGGCAACCAGCGTAAGCTGTGAGTGGACCTGCCTATAAACTGTTTTACGTTATTGCTCAAATTATTAATTCTATAATATTTTGTACAAGCTCAGATATCCAAGTCAGTCAAATTCATTTCAATTCCTTGTAAATTACCTCAAATCTACGAATAATGTCACGTCCTAAAAACAAGGCCAGTAATATGAAAGCGAAGAGGTTGTGGGGTCTGGGGGAGAAGTACATGTGAATGTGATTACAGGTAAGCATCTTATTGTAAATTGTATCATCTAACTGTTGTTTTCCTATTGAGGGGAATTTCCAATGATGAATTCGGTATTGTTTGTTTCTTATATATGATGGGGATCTAATAATGAAGGGAAGCCTCCGTCACCCACTATAGAACATTGCCTAACGAATAATGACTATCATCACGGGGGGAGTAACCTGAATATTAAAAGGAAAACGGTAAATATCATAAAAATGTGGGTGATTTATAGGAAAAGTGAAATGTCCTCTATATGTATATCTCTCCAAGTACCGAATTTGCCAGTGGAAGTGCTCCCCAACTATGTTTATGTCCTAATTATGCACAAAGGGTTGAGTTAAACTTATCAATTTGCCAATAACAAAAAGGGGTATATTTCTCTCGTCGTTTTTCTTATACTTTTATTATTATCGTCCATTTTGACTATGGTTTTATTGACTTACTAATTGCAACTCTGTAATATTTCTCGATAGACATTATATATATATTTGACATAGTATTGCTCTTTGACAATAGGTAAATCAGTAGGTATCATTCTTAATGTTAGTACACTGTTTCATATTCATTTTGTGGTCAATTTAATCGAAAATTATGTTTCTTCTTTATATCACGAAACAATATATATTTCTCCCATTTTTATTGTTATTAGCTTGATAATGTACTATTATTTAAATTTGGTTTGCAACTTGTCATTCGTCTTTTTCTATACAATCGGTTTGTTCTGTAGAGGTATCGATAACAAGCCCTTTAGTGATGTAGGTAGAAAGAATGTCAAAGAGTATATCGGCCCTAAATGTATATTTAACCACCAGTGGCGGAGTCCCTATTTATTCTTTTCCTGACCACGTACTATATGTGGTATCGAGGAACTTTCTCATAATAAGAGAATATGTTTTTGTGAGTCTGTAAACGCACCTGGGTTCTGATACGAAAGGAGAGTATGATTTGTCCCGTCAATGTCCGAGCAGACTGGTAAAAAAGTAGCAGCTATTTTAAACAAAAGAGAAAAAGATGTCTGAGCTTCGGCGAAGAGCAACCTTGAAAAATCCAGGCGAAGAATAAAATACCCTGGTGCCAGAAAGTTCGGATTATTGACGGTACACTATCATGCCACTCCTGGTTTTATCACTCCCCATCACAAGCTTGGTCATTGTGATAGAATTTCGACCGCAGTGTCTTTCTGGAAGTTCCCCCTTCGAAGCTGTACTTCCGTGTAGCACTCCTACTCTGAACCAGCAACCCTGTTAAAACTGATGGAAAGACACTGAGTTTGACAATTCTGTGAGGCAATACAAGTTTAGCACTGATAGTGGATATGTTATATCATCCTTGGTTTTTGATTGTACGACACTTCATCAGACATGCGGGACTATATATGAACAAAAAAGTAGCAGTTGATAAAAGATGCCCTCAAGAAAAAGATACCTGAGCTACGGCGAGGGGCAAAATTGGCCACCCGTTATCCTGTTAAAATGTCTGATGTGGCGCCGCTGCGATCTCAATCTCCAGTATGTTCTGACGTATCAGTTTGTTAGGAGCCCTGTTGTCTGAGGAACGAGTGGTGAGATAGGTCCCTCGAGACAAACATATGGTATTTAGTATGTAATAGGGAGTACCTACACTTTTAAAGGGACCGCGCCACTGGGTAGACGAACTGTCTACAACATGATTTATGAACTGGGTACTATGCAATTATTGGAGATAATAAATCCCTTTACCTACCTTCTGTGTTTTATTTGCTACAATTGTATCGAACTTTAAAAAGAACTTGGGTGTACAACAAATAGGGTGTCCTAGCCATAAATGAATTAATCAATTCTCGATTAATTATTGACGATCACAGCCAAATTAACATAATCAGAACAGCCCACGGTCTGTCCGGTTACAAATGATTACATCCCAATATGCACACGTACGTTTTGTGAACGTTTAATCAACGTAGATCAGGTTGAATACACGTTTACGGTTGAGGAATTCAAAGTTGACATATGGTTGAAGAGAATAACGTTAAAACTAAACGTTTAATACACGTATTGGAAACGATATATCCTAACGATCCATGAAATTCATACATTTATAAAATGTTTTCCCAAGACGCAAGACAAACTCTTAAGATGAACGTTTCTTCAACGCGAATCCTTCATCATTTTCTAACTGAAAGTGGGGAAGAAACGTGAATAAAACGTTATTCAACTACATTTTCCAGTCGTTTCAAACAACTTTTTATTCTCTGGAAACAAATGAGTTGAGTGGGTTCCATTTTAAAAGGCGCACCCTGTACATATAAGTACATTTTGAAAAGATTGATATTTTCTTTCAAGGTGGAAAAGATATGTTCCTAACTCATACGGAAAGTTTTTTCCCGCACTCGACTGCTTGCCACTTTTTATACTTGTAGGGAAATTACTATTTTCAATTAACAATAATTATCACTTACATTTCTCGTGTCTTGATGAGAAGAGTCGTGATGCATGAGTTCCGAGGTGCGTTCAGACGTTACATGGTTTTCAGTTGCATCAGTGTTTTCCATACTTTTGGATGGTTCCATATTCGGTATTGGTAAATATGTAGGAGCACTATGCATTGACGCCTTCCATTTCTCCCAGTGGGACAGAAACTGAGCTCTGTGCCCTATAGAGGGAATAAGCTCTCTCACCATATCATCTTTGAGAAATGGAAGGCTGTGCAGGGTAACATCGTTTGCTATAACAAGCAATAGAAACAGGTTTGAATGATACATTTATGAAAATGTTGCTATCTCTTAAACAGAGTCAGATATATTGGGTAGGTTAAATGTAGGAAAACTTACTTCTGAATGTTTCGATGTAATTGGCCAAACCCCATCCTCTTAAATAGCCGGCGACATCATCGTCGCTGGCGGCTACTGCCATCGAATCAGTCGTTTCACCAATCAATGTATATATTCTATCTTCCCCATCTTGGCTTTGATCTAAGTTCAAAACAATGGCGGCTGAATCATATATATAGTCAGAATTAGCGGCACTTGAGGTCGACATAATTATTTTTTAAGTAACGCAGTAATGCACAATCACAACCACAGCACTCGCACAGAAAAATGGCGTATTCCACATATTATCCGTATCCAACAACCAACGCTAATGACCGCGTTGGCGCGTGCTTCCCAGAGTAGCGGATTGAATTGTGGGATTCACAGGAATTCTGTTGGAATCAACGTTTTGAGCTGTTAGAACGGTGGCGTGGATCGTAGAGATGACAGGAATATATTATATGGATTGAAATACTGTCAGCCTAACAATATTTATTCCTGTAGAATCATCTGAATTTCTGTAAGAAATACCATACATTCCTGATGGATTTGATGTGTCCATGCTGTGATATTTACAAAATCATTAGGTATATTTCACTAGATATTCCTGTAACATTCACGGAATTTTATTCCGGTTAGAATTATGGTTCCGACCTACGTATGTTTTACAGTTGTGACTCGTAAATATAGCTAAATATCATTTTGTATACACAGGAAATATTCCTTATAAATTAAAAGTACCTTAGAACTGCTATACTCACCGGTTTTCCTGTTCATACGACCCAAGTCACTTCAACCGGAATCGGCATGTTTTATTGCAAGTACAGATTGTTCTCAAAACGGTTTTTTTTTGTTATAATAACAATAGTTTTGTTCAGACAACAGGAATTCATTCAACCGGAAATTCCCGGGATTCGTTTTTTTCAGTGTAAAGTGGCGCATGGAGTTAGTAACACAGCCTACACAGAACACACAGAAAGAGATGATGATGTGGTTGTGAGCATCAGAGAAGAAGGGTGTGGAAAACTACCAGCTGAGCGTGAGAGCGGGCCAGCTGCTTAGTGGACCCCAGTCTCTAACGGGGATTAACGAGGATAGCTAGTTGGCCTGCCACTGCGCATATGGTAGTGAGTACATTACTAGCCTACAAAACACAGCCGAAAAACTCTGAAAGAGAGCTGATGGGCGGTGCCTGAAAAGGATGTTAGCCAGCTCTCTTGAGCGAACCACATCAGTCATTGAAAACACTTGGGGTTTGCAAAAAGGTCCCATTAGGGACTAGTTGCTGACGTGCAAACGTCCCCCACTAGTACCAGTACCAGAACCCTGACGCAAACAATTATTATCTAGGCTAAATGCTGATTATCCCACTAATACAGTGTTGTAAGGTTTCAGGTTCGTGAAAATTCAATCACAGGATAGTAGGTTCGCATCTCCACCGGAGCAAGTTTTTTATAATATTCTATCTAATATTCTCAGAATATTTTGAACGGTCCATTCTGAATGTTCATGGAACGTCCCTAGAATATTTGAATCACATTTTGAGAATATTTCGAGGTTATTCAAATATTTTCTAAGAATATCCTATGAATGACATCTCTTATCGAAAACTAAGAAATATAATATGTATACCTGGTAAATCTCATATTACTGGTTATAACCAATAAAGGCAATAAAGCCGTCTATTTATTTACATTGTAATACCTAGTATAGGAAAGTAGCAATAGAATATATTTTACATCGAAGTGTAATTTAGTAGTCTGCAGAGAGCATGTTCTATTAAGTATATCAAGTTTATTGCCCTGTGCTTATGACCCCGGTTTTTTCAATGAGTTGTTTCATAGGATACGATGTCTCTAAAATGTTTTCAATTGTACAAACATACATTAAAGTAACAAAGATCTTCTCAAAATGGCTTAAAGAAAACTGCTTTCCGCATATATCAAGTAAACGTTAAAGAGCCCTTCTCATTTTATTTTTATACCGAACTTTTAACAGTTTGAATTTATTATACGCGCTCGCTCATTCCTTTGTCATCATGAGTTTAAAGCTTCTCCCTGTGAAATATTGGAGGAATAATTGTTATTTTTTATGGTAGCATTATTTTCCTTTGATAAAACCTGCACTGCTATGGGGGATTCGGCAGAAATTACCATTGTATCAGATGAATGATCATCCGTTGGAAACTCGACAGAGAATATCGAAAGTACGCATGGATTATGTGGGGTTGTATATCTAAGGAATATTACAAAATGTTTTTCGACACAAATAAGATAGATTATTTCTGAGTCGTCAATGACGGAAGGATTTCAAAGAATTTTACGGATTATGATTCTGAAACGATAAAAATTGCTTATAGGTACTCTTTGTGCGGAAAAATTGATCCCTGCACTGAGGAAAAAGCATTCATCAAATTATCTTGTTATACCTGAGTTGATGACAGTTATTCAATGTATTATCATATTGAAAAGGAATATTCTCAGATATAATTATGAACATGAAAAAATGGATATATATATATATATACAGTGTGTCCACCTTAAGGACTTACCACCCCTGTAAAATCGTTATTATCCGACCAATTTCAATAAAACCTTATTTTTTTTGGTAGGTATTCGAAATGCCTATCCAACGAGAGAGTGATCTATTTCTTGGACTATTATCGTGGCCAACTGCGACAAATTTCAATGACCCATATTCCAGAAAGTACTATTAGGGATTTTTTCCACGAAACTTGATGATGGATTCTGAATCAGTACCACTTGAAATATACCTGTACCGATTTTCATCATCATAAAACACAGGGTGTCCGAAAAAACGAATCATCATTTTCTTCAAATAGGTGCGATCAGCAAATGTAGTTCTGTGGTTTTTCTAGAAAGAAATGATCACGAATTATCATTGAGGATTATTTCAAATATACCTGTACCAATTTTCGTCATTTGAATATACAATGTGTCTGAGAAAAAAATTAAAAAGGATAGGTAAGCAATATTTTTCATCCTGATAATTCTTCACAATAAAAAAAAGAAACAGGATCACTTGGAACATACCTGTACCGATTTTCATCATCATTATGGGTATTCGAAAAATTAAATTGATAGTTTTTTTCAGTTGATATTGCTTACTTTTTCTTTTTATTGTTTTCTCATACACATCGTATTTTTGAATGATGAAAATCGGTACAGATATGTTCAAAGTGATCCCCAATAATAATGTGTCATTAATTCTTCTCAAATATACCACAATACTACATTTTCTGATCACCTATTAAAAAAAAACATAATTCGTTTTTTCGGACACCCTGTGTTTTATGATGATAAAAATCAGTAAAGGTGTTCAAGTGATCGTGATTCAGAATCCATCATTGTTTTTTGTAAAAAAATCTCTAATAGTATACTTTCTCAAATATAGGTCAATAAAGTTGGTCGCAGTTGGCCACGATTACAGTTCATGAGTAAAATCCCTTGTTGGATGGACATTTCAAATACCTATCCAACAAAAAAAACTTTTTTGAAATCGGTCAGATAATAACAATTTTACAGGGGTGGTGAGTCCTTAAGGTGGACACACTGTATATATATAGAGAGAGAGAAATACATTGAGAATTCGCATACTCTATGTGATAAAAATATCAATTCTTTCTCGGTTTATTCAACAGAAAACAGCTACTTTCCTGGCTATATGCCACGACAAACATTGGATGATATCTATTGAACACACACGATAAAAATTTGAAATCAAAATCCTCTGAAGAAAAGAATATCATTCTGGATATTCAACAGAAAACAACTACTTTCCTGGCTATTTGCCACGTCGAACATTATTATTCACTCATGATCCGTATAAAAATAGCGTCAACGACTAGTTGTCATAATTATGGACGTTTCATTGGGAGTATATTAATTAACTCCATTGGTCTTCTTGTAATGACAATAATGTCTAAATCTATGATAATCAACGTAGACTAAATAATTTGTATCATATAACTGTAACTTGTTATCGAATCACTCTTATAGGTGAAATCAATAACGATCGTTGACGAATTTTTCCGGCAAATTGGTACAGAGCTATCATGAGTGAAATCAAGGAGCTCTAAATTGAGCAAATTAGAAAGGATTATAGTTAAATATAACATTTAATTTGCAATTAAAAAGTATTGAATATTCAATTTATCTTTTAGAACAACTACTATATCATATTCGTATGAGAATTCTCTGTTTGTGTGCCGTGCTCTGTGACCGTGCTCTGAGCTGTGGGGTGTTGAGTTCTTGATCTGTTCTCTTGAAGAAGATAATGAAATACAAAACTCTTCCTAGAACAGTACATAATTGTTTCTACATATATACAGGATTTTTTTCTACTTCCTATAATACTCGAAGTGGAAGGAAGTGACGTTTAAAAAGTATGAAAGTTGATTCATCTTCAATGCTGGAAGGAAAAAGATAGTGATAGATACAGAGCAGTGCAGTGAGTGAGAGTACCGTTTTTCTCGGTGCATGATACTGATATACGCGGTATCTAGTATCTCAATATTTGTCGTCAGCCTTACCTTTTTTTGTATTTTCTGGATTCATCAGACCTATATATTGAAATGTTTCGAATGTATGTGTTTTTGTCTTATTACCAAGGTTTTATCATTTTTCAGAGAACAATGGAGGTATTTTTTCATACTAGCTAATGACAAATGAATAAGTCACTATTGACAAGTAAATAAGTCACTGATGACTAGTAGATAAGTCACTAATGACATGTAATTAGGCCACTAATGACTAGTGAACAAGTCACTAATGAAAAGTGAATGAGTCACTAATGACAATTGAATAGGTCACTGATGACAAGAAAGTGATGTGTTCACTAACCGTTATCACTCTGAAATTTGATGAAACAGGTAAATAGTGGTAGGTGTACATTTTCAGGAACACAAATATTCTTGTGGTTATCAACTTGTTTCCTTGTCCCATATAGTATACAAGTTTTTACTTGCCACTATTAAATATTCACTTAGGGTTAGTGATTTTCATTCTCCGTGTTGAATAAGAAGTAAAATTTACATTTAGTTTCGACCTAAAAAAGTCGATCCAGTCGGTCTGTGAACTGTGAGTTCTGATTCTGAGTTGTGATCGTGTGGGGTATTAAAAAACTAATAGTTAGAAGTGTGCAGAACTGGGATTGGCCGAGACCTCCAGGAGTAATATTTTGATTTGAAATGTCATTCGATTTTCAACCAATAAGTACTCTGAATGTGAGGAATATTTGATTTTTTTGTCTATCATTAAATTTGCCTTTTCTGGAGTTTATTCTCCTCATTT